GTCCGTTTCCACCCCCCACTCCAGGACCAGAGACAGAAGCCTCCGGTCGCCCGCTCCCTTCCCCTCCCCCACCACCCACTCCTTGGCCGGCAACTGGAGGCCGGGTCCCTTCCCCCCCACTCACTCCAGGGCCAGCAACAGGATGCAGAGGCCTCCGGCCGACGCCGCCGTTCCCCCACCCCCCTCCCACCCTCACCCACTACTGTTTACCTTACCACCATCCAGCCTATGCGTTCGTTACAGACCACATCTTTCTAGATCCCGTTGTATCGGTTTCACAACGGGCTTTTCTGCTAGTAAAACTATAAATAACAATAAAACATGTAACAATATAATATTGGCTTCCATATTGCTAAGAGCAACAAAACACAACACGCAAGTAAGGCCTATTTTATGCAGTTTCCTGATGACTAATGAAACTAGAGCCAAAATCAAAACATTAGAAACCTAATTAGCCAAAGGTCCACTGATAAACATGGTGCCAAAATGATGAAGTGGTGGCAGGCAGCCTGTCAAGGGAATCGTGTTCAACTGCAGCAGCACCACTGAAATGGCTCTGTCCCAAGTTACCACCCACCTCCATTTGTTTTGCTGGGGCACTTGAGCAAGTCTCTTGTGGTGATCTCAGGCAGATGTAAGTGGTGGCTCAGATGGCTTTTGCTTAATTTTGACTTGATTGGAGCTTTGGCCCCAAGTACCTTTTTTACACCTGCCCCAGCATCCCAGCCTTTCCAAACTGCTGGTGCAAGCAACCAGGCAGGAGAGGGGGGAGGGGGAATGCCAGGGCAAAGCAAAGGATGGTATTGTTCTTTCACTGTTTTTCCCATTCATTTTTATCAATCTGATGAATAAATCAAAGCAGGCTTTCATTTGCTTAGAGACATATGCAAACCCCATCTTCAGCACTGGAATGGCAGATTGGGTTTATACACTACAGACCAATGATGTTTCCCTATGAACAATGTAATAGTGTCATGCCCTGTGCTAGTTCGGTCATTTAATTCTCACCCCTTCACATGGCCTCCTATATATTATAAATTGGTCTAACAGGTTTGGGAGCAGAATGAGAGTTAAGGAACTAGACAAATTTCAGCCTTTGACTTCTGGCAAAAATTTGGTCCTACTATAAAATATGTCAAGGGAAGAATACTGTCAATTGTCCTTGTAGGAATCTCAAATGTTCTCAAATTCACCTAAAGGGATTCAGAACAGGATAACATATAAAAATTTGAAAGGAGCATGTCTTAAATAATTTGTGCTTCTTCATTATAGAGGAGATACAAATTTGAGAGATTTTGATCCAGTGCTTGAAGTGTTGATTACATAGATGAAATATGTATAATATAAAGGTAATTTACTGGATTTTAGGCCTTTCAGCTACAAAGTTCTTCATTTGCAACATTACCCTTGCTTTTTCATTAAAACTTCATCCCATTTTGCTGATAGGTGGCATTAAGATACGCATAAACCACTGAGAGAGAAAACAAAGTACCATTGTACCAGAGTGTGCATGTTTGATGTTCCAACTATGCCTTTAGAACATGTCAAAGAAAATAGTCTGCTTTCTCACAGACTAAGAAAGCAATATGAGCACAATTGAGATATTCATCTAAACTCCATTCTGTTTTGGAAAAAGTATTGACTGTTGCATAAATAAGTCACTACTTATGGAAAACCCTTCTCAAAGCATACTGTAACCAAGAATAAACTGCAAAATAAAGAATTATAGAATAGTAAAAAGCTACATTTGGTTCCAAAATATGAATTGAATCCTACAAAAATGTTTTGAAAACATTGGAACTCATACTGGACTGGTAGTCAAACAATATAATATTCAGAACTGCTACACAACCATGCACCGCACCAAGCTTTTCTTTGCTCCATGTGATAATTTGTCAAAATAAGTGTAAATTGGTACTTGAATCTTCTCAGTTACCATTTAAATTATCTGCAAATGTATTTAGTTTGTACATAGCTGACAGGCAACTACCATAGTAATAAGACAGACAATAAAAGTACATTGAGACTCCATTGGCCTACAAAGGAGCACATGGATTTCTGAGCAACCCATGGATTCCTAGGAACATCTATACAAGGCAGGACGGGGGAACCTAGTCACCACATTTTTTTCAGAGACACTAAGACCCCAGGCCAAAGAACTGAAAGGCCAATTCTTCAGGGTGGTGGGACTTTTGATTTTGTTTCTAACTGAAGCAACACAAATTGCCCAGTAAACTGCTTCTGAAACTTGTGACAACTTAAAAACAACTTGTGAAATGGAACAGCTGTTCAGAAACAGAAAACTTACACATTACTACAGGAAACTTGCAGCAGTAGCTTTAAACAAGCTGTATAGGATAGCCCACCCAAACCTGTCCAGGAATGAGAGGGAATCCTGTACCTTTTGCAGTACATCAAACAACAACCCACAGAGATAGGCTACCCTCTCTGGATTCAGAACAATATGCCACCAGAACCTCTAGAGAAGTTTCCCCTCAACCTGAGATTAGAGGTTCAAACTCTCAGTTGGTATCTAGGGCTTAACACATTAGCAACTCTACGCAGAATTGCACACTTTACACTTAATGGTAGCTTGTGGTCAGCTAGGCACAGGAAATAGACTTGGAATCCCAGTTACATCATCAAACACAAGTTAGAAATAATCAATATCTGTATTCAGTCAGAGCCTTGCAATTAGACTATAAAAGACTGCAAAACAATAAGCCTAAGGCGATTTGCCTTACCTACACAGTAAAAAGATACATATTTACCCAGTCAGGATAGCATCAGTCCAAATTAGTCCCAAAATAGTCCAAGGGATTTTGAAGGGGAATCCCATCTTTGCACTCCATGTGCTCAAGCCACAGAGCAGTCCTTTGTCTCTTCAAAGGACAGCATTTCCCGGTGCCATAAAACAGCAGAGAGCTCACGAACAGGAACAGAGAGAACAGAACAAGAGCAAGAGAAACTCTCCCATAGGGGATTGACCAGTTATAGGCCCATTCCAGTCACAAATTAGCCGTGGCCAGGAGCCAATTGCGAGTGGGAAGGTGAGTGGCCAATTCTTGGTTGTCATGGGTGCAAGTGGGGATAGGCTGGAAGTCTGGAGACTTCCTCTGCAGTCAGGTGACCCCAGACTCCATTCTCCCCATCGGCTACGTGACAGAACATAAGAGATGCCAATGTTGGATCAGGCCAAAGGCCCATCCAGTCCAACACTCTGTATCACACAGTGGCCAGAAATACCAGTGCCATCAGGAGGTCCACCAGTGGGGCCATCCCACTGTTAGACCCTCCCCAAGCACCCTAGTGGGGCCCTACAGTCTAGCTTCTAGCATGGAAGTGTGAAGAATGTGGGTTTATGGCATGGCAATTGAGGCCATGGGGCCCACCATTTGGCTTGTAACAGGAAATAAGGCATAGCCTGGTATCAGAAAGATAGCACAGGAGAATGCAGGAGACATTTAGAAATCAATATTTCTATACACAAGCCATGAGAAATCATTTCCCCGAGTAGATTCTGTTTGCAAGTAGCACTTTTCTTTAATGTTATGCATCTTACCGAGCACATCAGATGGTAGACTGCATTCTATAATAGGATACTGCTGCTCTGCTTTGCATGCATTGAGCACTGCATACATCAGGGGTCCCCAATGGGGTGGCCATTGACATCTTTCCTGGTGCCTACGTTTTTAGAAAATGGGTGGGGCCAGGTGGCATTTTTGTCCAGCAAGGTTTCTGATCGGTCATTGGAAATTTGATTGGTTGTCCAGATTTTTTAAAAATGCTGGGGAATTTCACATTACCTAGTTTCTCCCGGTTTCAAGCCGGGAGTCTTCCGTTTTCAGTTGAACCGGAACAGGGCTGCCATTTCACACACGGCTTGCCCCTACCGGAAAGGAACCGGATAAGAAGCAGTTTGGCGTTTCACACACGCACCGCTTTGGTTTCCCACCGTTTTCTTCCCGCGCGGGTGAGCGAATTTTTTTTTAAAGGTTCGGCTTATAGCAATATATTGATATATCGCTATACCAGAACCTCAAATGGTCGCAATAACGATCCCATTGGAATGCGACTCCTTAGGGGTTCAGGTATATCGATATAAGCCGAACGTTCCCAAAAAAAAAAAAGCCCGCGCGGGCGAAAAAAGGCGGGAAAGAACCGTAGCGGAACTGGGAGAGGGAACGGCAGACTACTCTGAAGCGGTTTACAGTTAAAACGCTTCAGTCCCAGTTCCTATACGGAACAGAGACTTTTGTGTGTGAAATGGCAGTCAGATCCCGGTAGGCAACCGATTCTCAACCAGGTTCTGTCTGAAATGACAGACCAGAACCTGGTTGAGAATCGGTTCCCTACCGGGAGATATCGCCTGTCTGAAATTCCCCGCTGTTTTGGCATCAGCTGCCAGCACAACACAAGGATCTTTGCTATGTAACTGAAGGTAAGTCGGGGGAGCTATTTTGTGGCTGGTTTTGCCTCCTGTGGCAGCCATTTTGTGGCTGTGTCAAAATTCCAAAGGTGCCCACATGCTCAAAAAGGTTGGGGAACCCTGGCATACATCAGCCGAGTTCAGACTGGCAGTTTGAAGCGGGAGGGAGTCATGGCAAAAAATACCCGGAACAAACTGTTCTGGGTTTTCCCAGTCACACTGCACTGACTGATGCAGGAGCATACTGGGGAGGAGGTGCAAGGGAGCATTCACACTGTTGGCCCTCCCCTGCCGGAGGCATGGCTGTAAGGTGCAGCTTTCTTTTTGGTAATCTGGAGATATGCGCTTATGCACATAAGTGCTTATGCGCATAAGCACACAAGAAAACCCGCGGCTTTCGGCGTTCACACTTCGTTGGTACGGGATCCACGTGGGATAATCGTGTTTTCCAGGGTTTGATACCACTTTCACCAGGTATCTCTTAAACTCGGGAGGGAAGCATTACAAGACGGGTCGAGTATGGCTGGGGAACGCTGGACAGATGCGCCTGTGTGAACGGCCCCTTTAATCCGGTTGTGGAACGTTTCTGAAACGTGCCTATATCAGGGCAAACTGCCAGTCTGAACTTGGCCATCATGTATCATTTGTATAAGTAAGGTTGTAGAATGTAAGGAGAATTCCTTGAAACAGCAACATTGCATCTAATATTGCACTGACTACTCAGTTACTATCAGTGTTTGTCTGAAACAATGAGGATTCTAACTGAGTGTAAATAATGATCAGCTTTTGTGCTAAAACTATATATTCCGGTGTAACTATGATCAAGTTGATTGTTAGTGCACTTGGAAGTAAGTTCCACTGGTCCTCCAAGTGTCAACTGCAAACAAATAAACTCCCCCCTTCCCCCACCATTTCTGCATTAATAAACAGAAGCAAATGCCTAATAATGCCAAGTGACCCATGTAAACAATCTCTGAAACAAAACCCCCCCAATCCATATCTTAGAATGCTACAGCTTCTGGCCAATTGTATATCTATACACAAGAGATGCTCTCTAGATTTTATTGAAGCAAGCCTGCAAAACTGGACATCTACACATTTCCTAGTGGAAAACAGCTCCACAGTTCTCCTCTTCATCCATCTTTAGCCACGCTGTCATGTGTTCTTTCACATCTCAGACACAATATTCAGTTTCAGCCCTACAAGAAGTTTTAGCGCCGCCCTGGTGGAAGAGGATTTTCACTGGATATCATCATCATCAAACATATCTTCAAAACCTAACAAAAATAAGAAAATCAATTAACATCACTGCAAGAATTCATCCTTATAACCATGAATAAAATCATGTACATTCTGAAGAGTTTAACAATAACATGAAGCTTACAGGGGGGGATGACTTACAGAACATAATTAGCAATCATTACAAGACCTTCAGTTGAAAATAACCGATAATGATGCAATGATAAGCACTTGGTTAACATTTGAAAATGTGGCTGAACTAGTTTAAGCCTGTAACATACTAATTTCTGGAATTGCCTTCTCTTTAGCGATCCAGCCTAAGTTTCTTAAGTATGGATTTGGAGCGGGCCCTGATGTTGACTACCAGGAGTGGAAGTTTTTTGCAGCCAAAACATAACACGACCTTTTGTACTTGGTTGGAGTTGTTCAGCCACTCTACCAATATCAAGTCAACATACTTAATCAGCAAAATGGACTTTAGATGCCTCACTGCAAGGGGTTTTGTGCGCCAAGATGGAGTGTGGCCCTTAAAGTCACAGATCATTAAACATATTTTATGTGATTGTAATAACAAATGCCAGGAAGACGCTGACCCTAAATTAAAGTTGAGGCTAGTAGTGGTATCCTGAGGAGAACGGGACCAAGAGAGGGATGCTGGTATTCAAGGGTTTTTTCCCTCTGCTACTTTTTTATGGCTCCGGCTTTGGCAGATTAGATGGTCCAACTTAGAATGCAAAAGAGTTAAACTGCTGTAAATATGCTCCATAGTTCTCGCAATAAGGATGCAGAAGTCAGCCAAGATGCAGCCAGAGGCTTGAACAGAGTCATTTTCATGGGAAGACCCTGCTGCTTGGCCAGGCACTCTCTCAGACCCAGGGGAATTCAAGTTGTAAGCAAGGTCACCATTGCTGCAGCCACTTCCATCATTAAAGGACTCAGCGATTGAAGTGCTAATTGTAGCAGTTGAAGCTCTGATTACAGAAGGGGAATCAGGAAGATTTGCCAAAGCAGAGAATCTGTTGCTAGTGGGTAAAGTAAAGGTTTCCTTGCTCGAAAGCCAGTCGAGTCTGACTCTAGGGTTGCGGTGCTCATCTCCGTTTCAAAGCCGAAGAGCCAGCGCTGTCCAAAGACGTTTCCGTGGTCATGTGGCCGGCATGACTAAACACCAAGGCGCACGGAACGCTGTTACCTTCCCACCAAAGTGGTACCTATTTATCTACTTGCAATTTCTTGCTTTCGAACTGCTAGGTTGGCAGGAGCTGGAACTAGAGATGGGAGCTCACTCCATCATGCGGCACACTCGGGTCTCGAACTTCTGAACTACCGACCTTCCACAGCCTGCAGTACAGCGTCTTAACCACTTGAGCCACCGCAGCTCCTTGCTAGTGGGTATTTGGATGGAAAAATAATCTCCTATCTTCGATTGCTTAGAGTGGGGGGGGGAGAGTTCTTCCAGCTCCCTTGGATGCTTGGATGGCCCATTGTAAACTGGGTGAAAAAAGCTTAGAGCCTCACAAAGTTCAGAGTAGCAGGCAAGCTGTGTACTTGATAAAAGGGCTTGACAAACTCAACACCTGGGGGCTGCTTCCTCTCCCAAAGCTCAAATCCCAATTCTTACTCACTTCTGGCAGCAGCCGTCAAGCCATTCTAAGACAGTAAAAGCTCTAACACACTCTTAACCAAGCCCAGTCAGGAAACTGTTTCTTGGAGATAGCAAGGTTTTCTGCCTTAATTGGCTTGCTGTGTAAATCATTTCTTGCAGGAGGAACCTCCAAAGATAACAGCAAGTTAAAAGAATGCTTAACAGCTACTTCCAGCAAGCTAAATAAATGTCTTCTACTTGATGCTGGGTGGACTATACAGTATTTACTGTTACCAAAAAAAGAAAAAAGCTTATCAAGCAATAAATTTTTTAAAAAATCCTTAGAATCCTCGGAGCTCTGCAGTATGCATCTGTGCCGGTCAAATTTTGGCTTTGCCTTTTGTTTAATTCTGATTTGAATTCTCTCACTTTCTTAATGTTGAATCTAACAGGTTGAAATTAGTCCTTAACAAAATTAGGTCTATAGGTATACCTCTAGATTCGCTTTACTTATCATCTGCCTCAACAGCATTTCAGATAATTAAATGTAGGCTTTTAGATATCCAATTTCAGCATCTGACTAAGGCAGCTTGGAAAACTTGCTCTCCAATTCATCTGGAATTATCTCTGATACCTGGGCAGATAGCCTCTTATTTCTGTTCTTTAACTGATCCCCATCAAAGAATGGCATTTAGGCTAGCCAGATTTAACGTACTGCTGTTGGCCATCTTCTTTGGAAGATGTCAAAACATCCCCTATGAATTTAGACAATGCCCCTGTAGCCTGGGTGCTATTAAATCAGTTCCCCATGTTCTATTAAACTGTCCATTAGACATTAAGATCCGAGAAAAATTTCTGAACTCCCTTCTCTGTACATGGTGTGGCCTCCCTGACAGTGTCAAGGTTCAGCGGTTACTTTCTGGATACAACTTTCTCATAACCTCTAATGTCGCCTGTTTTCTCCAGTCTGCAGTTCGATTCAGGGAAGCTATTAATTGATCAATTTCATTTTGGTTGGCCTTACAATCGATGCATTAAATTTTTTTTAATGTACTTTTATCTTTGATATGCCAATAAAAGTTGTCTGTCTGTCTGACTACCAGGAGTTACTTGTACTGCTGAATATTTGCTTACATGGCAGCAGCACCTCACAGTTCATTCTAAGAGACATTCTTGGTTGAGCGTTTACTTGATCCAACAGAAGTATCTATTGCATTAGCTTAAACACAATAACCATTTCTATGGGACTATATCCTGGCAATGGCCATTTTTCAACTTTGATACTACAGAGGAAGGAACAAGAAAGTTATTTCAAGTAAAGTTACTTGGATTAGAATAGAAATCCTGAATGTATAAGTTTAGGTATATTCAAGGGCTGAATATCATGATGTGCAGCTCTCTAAAATACTCTTTCAAAATATATTTCATATAATATCTCTAGGATGGGTCTTTTTCTCAGGCATTTGTATTACTCCATACAGAGGGTTGAAATACTCCTCCATTTGCCTCAACCCAGCGTACAAGTCATTCTGGTCCTGGGCTTCCGTGCTACTAATGTAAAATATTTACTAAAAATAAATACAAGCAAGGCTCTAAAATATATGACAGCCTAGATCAGGGGCATCAAACATAAGGCCTGGGGGCTGGAACCGGCCCATCCAAGGCTCTTATGTGGCCCACGAGCAACTGGTCCAAGTGAGGGAACAGGACTCTGCTGGGGGGGGGGGCGGGTGAGTGGGCAGAACCACTCCAATTGTGGCTTCAGCATGGCAGAACAACCTCACTTGCAGCAGTCAAGCAGAAGCTCTTCACTTCAGGGGCAGCCTCACTGGTAAGTCGGGAGCCCTCGCAGCCACATTCATGCCTCTCCACTCAGCCTGCAGCTCCAGGGATGCTGTCCTGGATGGCCAAGGGGATCAGCATTTGCACGTGGGTGGCTGTGGATGATCCTCTGTTGGGTCCTGCTGGTGGCCAGCTCCGCCACCATAGTCATGCCCCCCCATGTGGCAGCTGTGCTTTGGCCCATGGGGGGGCATTCTTTGCCAGTTTCTTCCACACACTGGGGTCTAGTTCTGCCACTGAGCACGTGACTCAGCAGCCGGGCCTCCTTCCCCCATGGACCACCCGATGGCCTTCAGATGTAGGTGGCTGCCGCCTTATGGAGGGGGCAGTGCAGCAATCTCCGATTATACTGGTCGCTGGGCAGCCTGGGGCACGCAGTGCCCACTCCCCCATCAGATGACCGGCAGTTGCCACCGCATGGGGCTGGAATGGCTTGCCAACAATCTTTGGCTTGAACACCCAGCATCACCCCACCAGCTACATGGGCATCTCTGGCTTAGCAGGCTTTGCTTGGCCTGGGTCCTACTATGCACATGGCCTCAGACCTGGAGCTGCTCCCACTTCCTCAGACAAGGGGGGGTAGTTCAGGTTGTCTTCCCAGTCCCCTTCCATGGTGGCTTGGGGGCAGGGGGGAGCTTGCAACATCCAGCTGCTTTGCATTTTTACCCTGGGGCCTGGATTCACAGAAGTGGCAGAGGGCTACGGAAGGGGTTTGATCTGCGCACACACCCCAGCCCATGGGGCCTTGCACTGAGGACACACCAACTCAGAGCTTACCAGCTGCTGTCCTTTTTATGTCAGAGCTGGCCCTCGTAACAAATGAGTTCGACACCTCTGGCCTAGTTCTCACTTACATCAGCATTCCAGATTTTTGGTGGCAGTTAGCCATGGAATTTAAATGATTCCTACTTGTTCTCTATGTGTTTTGACCACCATGCAGAAACATTTGTCAATAGTTTCAATACAGGTAGCACAGCATTAATCCAGGTGCTCAACAGCTGGTGTTGCCTCAAAAGTTAGTCCTGTTAACTTGGGTTGCTACAGAGATCAGAAACTGGTTTCCCCCTATACATCTCTTAAGTCTTGAAAAAAATAAAAATAAATCTAGTTTAACCCACAGTTCTCCCTTTATGGGAACTCTCCCCCAAGACAAGCTTTTGCTTTTAATGATTAATTCCAAGCATTTACATGTCAGCACATGTTTACCCCACTTTCTCCTCCAGGCTCATGGTAGCATACATGATTCTTCGCTGATCCTTTACTTTATATCTTCACAACAAACCTGTGAAGTAGATTAGGCTAAGAGATTGGCCCAAGTAACCTTAATGGTTGAATTGGTATTTGAACCTGGGTCTACCCAGTTCACCACTATATTACACTAACTAACAATGGAAATCCATGTAAGAACTACTAAGGAATGGCTAAAATAATAGGCCTCATTTAAAACCAAAATGTAACTAATACTTACTGTTAAAGAAGTCTGCGTGTACTGCCTTTTCATTAGCTGCTAAATCCATCAATAGACCTGTACTTCCTCCAGCCTAAGAAATAATGATACTTTTATCATCCGTAACAGTAAAACATAATTAATATGTACACAAGTGCACAATCTTGGTCTTTGAATCCATTTATTAGTATTTTTTTAGATATGTCACCCAAACCATCTCTCCTCTGTTTGTTGACAGCTGAATATCAACAATGACAAGTTCACACAAACTTATGTCCCATTTTATTACCACAGAGTTAAGTAAAACAAGTAACTAAGAACAAATAATGTCAGAATTCTCTGACAGACACCAGGGGAGAAGGGGGAGGAACTATAAAGAAGGTATCTCGAGCAGCAATGGCAGTAAAGCACCAAAAGGTTACTGAATCACAGCAGATTTAAAATTCTCCATTATAGGTCAGACATTTCTCAACAAAGCATTCATGCACATTTTTATAACATCAGCAGAAAATTTAGATTCTTCACTCTGAAGTGTGTAAGCATCCTCACTCCCTTAAACATCCATACCATCAAGCTCCATAAACCAAGCAGGCGGCAAACATTTTGTCACAGTAATTCTGCTAATCTTCAAGACACCTTAAAACACCCCTGTATTCGATGCAACAGAATAACACAGATACCCCAGTGGAACACCCTTCTATGCTTTCCCACCCGCTTCCAGCTCCTTGGGGAGGGAACACTACCAGCACCGAAAATATTAGTCACCTGAAGAGCAATCCGAAAAAGAACTACACCCTTCAAGACCAATAGCCTGAATAGGGTACAACTCTACTGCAGCTGGTACCGCAAGTATATTCCTTGTCCACCCCTTCCCCGGGCCCCAGGGCGACTTTCCCAAGGCTCCCTCTTATATGCCTCCTTTACCAGAGCAGAGGAGGTGCTGCTGGCCTGGGGGCGAGGGTGGGGGAGCCTACTCGCCTATCTCGCCCTAGAACCCCAACCAAGGGCGGCGCGAGAACGCCCCTCCCCTATCGCGGCAGCCTCCTCACCTCGTCGAGATCCACATAAGGACCCGCGCCCTCAGGAAACATCTCATCCACCGCGGGCTTCATCGCTGCCGTCTAGCTTCTCTCCCTTCTACTAATATCCGGTCGGAATGGGAACTGACTTCCGGCCAGAAGCCACGTGGCTACTCTAGGCGCGGGGAGAGGCTTCTCCTCTATGGTGCCCTTCCGATGCCTCGGAAAGGCTGTTGCTCAGAAGAGGGCATTGGGGTTCCTTCGCATGCTCTGCCTGGATCCGCGAGAAAGACGTTCCCATGTTACATGGGGGCCAGTGAGTTTGGTTTCTAGGAACTGCAGTAGAATTTATTCTCCAGAAAACATGCTGAGGATCGGATTGTGTTGTCAGCTCCCTTCGTACCTTTACTGTGCAGAAGGGAGTTTTGTAGTGTAGTGGGTAATTTGTTAAGTGAAACCTTCCTAGAACTCCGTCATCTCATTTTAAAGCAGGTTGCTCTTTGTGGGCCATGTCCTATAATCAATCATTGGTGACTGCAGAAGCGCTTTTTAATTTTTTTTTGATGAGACCTCTGTTCTTTGTTCTTTTTTTGTTGAAAGAGTATCTGATGTTGCTTATTTGGAATTCACTGACACAAGATGCGGTGTATTGTAAATGGCTGTAAAAGGGAACTAGGGAAGTATATGCTGTTAGCTTCGACAGGTAGATTAAACCTGGTCAGAGGCAGTGTACCTTAGAATACTAGTTGCTGTTAGGCAACAACAGAGGAAGGCTGTTGTCTTCATTTGTTGTGGGAAGAGGAAGGGAAAGGGATTGTAAACCACTCTGAGACTCCTTTGGGTAGTGGAGGGTGGGGTATAAATCCAATCTTCTCTTCTTCATTTCCTCCTTGCAGGCTTCCTAGGTGCATCCGGTTGGCCATTGTGCAAATCTACATGCTGGACTAGCAGAATCTTTCTGTGGTGCAGCTAGACTTTCCTTGTGTTGATAAAACCCAAACCAATTAAGATTAGTGGGTGCCTTCTGAGTTTTGTGTGGTTGGTTTCCACAAACAGAATTTGTGGGATGGGGAATGTGGACATATCCTGTGAACAGTTTCAGAGTACTATGTGTGTGACTGTGTGTTGGCCTCAATTCCTGCACATGTAGTTCCCACTCTAAACTGGACTGCCTGGGATATGTACAAGGAATTTCACTCACACACACACACACTGCATTACCCTGAAGTGAAATTGTCCAGGGAAGGAATTGATTGGTTTGTTGTATGAAATGCAGTCATCTGTATATAGGAGTCATACTCCTTCTGAACCTCGCTCACCAAATATTAGTTTACATAAATTGTATGGTGAGTTCTGTACCACTGAGAAGTAACTGGTGCATAAAAGTGCCTGCAAAATCTACAAATAAAAACATTTCCCACAGCAATTTAGAAAACTTGTTCAGATGAAGAAGAGCTGTATCCAAATATTTTCCCATAAATACCTTCCAAAATAGGGATTAAGAGGCATTTTCAAAAGTAAACCGCATGAGAATCAAATAATTCTTTATTCAATTTGCAGAAATATATATATATATATATACACATACATATATAGTATAGATGATCTGCTAAAAAGAAATCATGATAGCATCGCTAGTATTTAAAAAAACAGAAACAAACATGAGAAGCTGCATGCTTGATACAAAGGAAGCCTTATAACAACACAGTTGTTAAGCAAGTAATTTTGGTGTTTCTTGGCAATTGTGAAACTCATTCAATCTATGAGCACTGGGATTAGCCCAGCAAGTTAGTGCTCATGATATGGGACAGCATATCCAAGAGTATTTCCAAGTGGCTGGTGAGCAAAGAAGGTTCTGGCCAGTTCATTGATTCTGTGGTACGCTCCCAAGGTCCGGAAGTACTCCACATATGACCAGAAATCATTGGACGAGAAAGGCCAGTAAAGCATGCCTGCAGGTTCTCTGTAAGGGTCTAAAAAAATAACAGAATTATCTTAATATATGACACTTTCAGGAAACAAAGCTCGCTATAGGATCCAAGGTACCTTTCATTTTATTCCATACAGCTGGTACCACCTTGACCAGCCAATTTGATAGAGCATTATTTATTCACTTACTTTATTTATAGCCCTCCTTTCTCACTGGGACTCAAGGTGGATTACAAAATATAGAAAATAGAAAACAGCTGCTACTGTGTGTTTTTCCCTGTCCTGTAAACGGACTAACCCATTCATGGAACAAAAGACATGATAACAAAAAAATCTTTCTTAATTTCATATCTTCAGAGTTGTTTGCCTGACTTACAATGTAACAAAAGGTAGAAAACTCCATTGGTTTTTAATGCCTGAGCACTACAAATGTCCAGGGATGCTGGTATAATTTGGCGAGAGGGAAGGGAAAAGGAAGCAGAACTAGAACACATAAAATCTGAATTATAAACCACAGCACACCTTTAAAATGTGGCATAATTCTAAATAACCCCATAAATATGAATTGTGGGACATAGTACCTGAATTTCAATTTTGAACTGGATGTGGCACATCACTGATTTTTAATCAGCTTTGTGCTGTATGTTCATTTAATGGGCTCAGTTGGGGGAGTCAGTTCCCATCCTTTTGATGTTGCAATGGTTAAAAACATCCCCAGCTAAAACCAAAAATAAAATAGCAAATTCAAAATCCTTCTTCACTTTTCCTTTAATAGATGCCTGCCATTCTAACCCCCTGAAAGGGCTTCACTTTTTACAGAAACTTTGTAACACCTATTCCAAAGGTGTATATAGTTTTGAACCTACTAAATCTTATGACACTTTGCCAGGGTCTGATTTTACTCTCTCTGAGATCAACAGAAGTCTTTCTTCTGACATCAGTGAACTATTGAACAATGTATTTGGACAGGTTCCCACTATAGGTTTGGGGCTGGGGGTGGGAAAGAGAACTTTAAAAACTTTACCATCTTCATCCTCAATAGGCCTGGCATCTGCAAATAAGCAAAAGATTCATCACCACTGGATCTGTAATGGAAAAACTTTGCAGAGGAAATACCTGCTCTGTCACACAAAAACAAACCGCTAAGCTTCTCGTTTCTAAACTGTCTGAATAAAGACTCTTCTGTTCTCCCCCTCACCCATTATGGATCTCAACAACTTCTACTAATGGGAACTAAATGTTAATTATATTCAAATATTTTTAAAAGGAAGACTATATGCACAGAGCAGAGGACTGGTCATACCAAAGGATATACCATACGTATTTAAGTATAACAATCAAGATACCTGTCAGTGCATTCGCCAACATACAGACACAAGCTATGCCCACAGAGATTAACTTCATCTTTCTTGGGCTTTATGATTTTTCTTTCTGAAGTATAATCTGTATGAATGAGAAATATCAGAATATAGCGAGACAAACTGTGTTGTATATTTATCTTCTGTTTTAAATACATTTTTGATTTTTAGACAGCCCCATCATTTGAACATATCCTCTTTAAAGTATTAATTACATATATAGATAGTAAAACATTTTTTCTTTTCCAGATTTTGCCTAAATTCAAAATTTTGCTTGCATTAGAATGAAATGTAATGCCTTGAAAGCATTTACGACTGGTTGGTTTTAGTTTTGCCTGAGGAATTACCTTTTCCCTCTTTCTCTCAGATCTGTAGAGCTCTGTAGTTTTGAGTACGCTGCAAGATCCTGAATGAGCTTCTATTGCTGCAAAATAGCTGCACTGTTTAAAGGAGACTGGAGGGGAGTTTGTCAGGGAAGGAGCGTCACATCTTTAGCACACCAATCTGGCTTTTTCATCCTAATCTTCAAATGTTTACAGTGTGATCTGAAGATGACCTGTTAAGATAGCACAGACATGGTAATGGTGGAACTTACTGACTGTTTCACTAGTGCAAGGTTTTGATATAATGACAGAACTGCACATTATTTTGTAGCATAGTCAAGCATGCCTGGAAATGCTGGAACAATTGGATCTTAACAGGCTTCTTCTGGTGGAAGTGGCTTATTCCATACCCTTTGTTTGCCTCACCAAACCCCATTGTGCTCCTTTTGACCCACACAGGAAAAGGAACTGTCATGAATAGAGGAATGCGTCCTCCTCCCTCTTGTGCTGGCAGGAAGTGGATGGGATCCAACCCTACCTATAAAACACTATTGAACTAATAGTAATAGAGTGATAGCCTAGCAGTACATTTTTTTGTTAAATTCAATGGACAATTCCATTTTAGAAGTACTGAAATGCAATCCAGTTTACTCGTGTTGACGCCAGTAAAGCCAGGGGCCTGACTTGTGGTAGCCCATCTGCCATGGAGGAGCATGCTTAGCTCATAAATCATCTTAAATCCTAGTAGTATGGTTTTACTGGGTTATGGATTGGGTTGCCCGATAGTCCAATTTCTTCGGTACAAGAGTGGATCTTTTCAGCCAGAAGGCTTTAAAGAAAACCCTGGAAGCATAGACTGCTTTTGAAATATGTGGCCATAACTTTAGTTAATTTTCCTACCACTATTTCAGGAGAGGAGGGACTGCTGGAATGTGCTGCTCTTTGCATTTTAGCTTTAGTGGATTTCAGAAGAGAGCAAGGATTGTTGATTCACTTCACAGCAATGCAACTGAAAGAAACAGAACTAGATGCTTCGTGCAGTTGCAAAGAGTTCTGTAATTAAAGTTATTTAATGGTAAACAAAGAGTCACCATCATACTGCTTTACCTGGAGCTTGGAGGAGACCGTGCCTTCAAAGGAGTGCTCTGTCCATGCTGAAGTCCACATTCAGTTTGGAGGACAGTTGATCATAACATTTCTTTCCTCTGTTCATTCTTTCTGTGCATATCTTAGAAAATACTTCATTTTAGTCATGGGGCCTTCGTATGATGATCATTCATAGTTCCATAATGGCAAAGCTAGAGTACTTTAATGAAGTCTATAAGAATGAGGCCAACCTTGGTCACATTACACCAGTGCTCCATTGTCTGTGGCAGCTGGCTATAGCCTTCCAAGTATAGCTCTTGCTGCTTGTATGACCTATACAGTGAGCGATGATTCAAGTCAAGCAGCACTTCTGTGACCTATTCTATGGATGTGATTCCTTTAAGGGTTCTCATGTGTATGCAACACGTGTGCACTGTAATTCTCAGTGTCTTCCTTTGAAACGTCTCTTCATTTAGGGGCAGACTACTCTTTTTCACTGTATATGCCTGAAAACAAAATAAAAGGAAAAACACACAGAATGGTGGGTATAATACACCAACATCTCTGTACCCTTGTGCACCAGACATACTTGCTGAGGAAATTCACTTATGTGCCTGGAAACTGGGTAGGACTGTTCCATGATTTTGTAGCTTGAGAAAATCTTATTCAACCTTTCCCTAGCTATCGCACACAACTATGTCATCTGCTGAAAGATTATTTGTTGACCATAATTCAAACAAGAGCCTTGATGTTGCTGTTTTGTTTTTAAATGTGGCATAGTGAGCCAGCCTCCACCATGACATCCTTGTTCAAGGCTCCCAAAGAGTAAGTGATCAGCTGATAGCAATCAGTCATGTCCCAAACCTTAGGGCAAGCACACAATGTAAAAACAAGGAATGGGGAGGGACATATGTCTCCGCCACATTTAAGATCCCAGTTGTGGTAACCAAATTGAATTTAAAAGCATATGAAAATAGAGATCTTTGGAATTCCCAGTTAGTCCCCACAATTGCTTGTGTGACACTAAATACATATAGGGAGTATTCATTTCCCCTACTAGTTGATCTCACTTTAGAAAATCAGTCTTTCCAGAAATCCCTCGGCTATAGAATATTGGAAATGCAATGGATGCTGAAAAGTAAAGTCCATGCAGCAAAACTAAGAATGTTGTTATAGATCGATATAAACTAAGAACGTTGATGTAGAGCTGCCCATACCCATGCTTGTCAGGGGAGGGCTCCCCACATTTGTATCATTCCACAGATTGTAACAGACAATGACCTTTTAATAAATGTCTGTGAAAGTTGAGATGGCTTTCTTTGCTTTGTTTATTGCATACATTATTGTGTTGTTCTGTTTCTCTAGCTTTGCCATCCGCTTTTGTGGCACGGTTGTACACTCATTACTGTTCTATTAAGTGTATAATACTGTTTAGGGTCTGTTGTTCTCTAATTTTGTAATGCAGTTTTATCACTGTTGGTTGTATGTATTATGCTGCTTTTTCTGTGTGGTTTTTAGTTTGTGCAATCCTGTAGTCCTCTGTGAGGAAGGTAATTAAGTGGAGTAATTAAGTAAGTAAACAAATAAACAATAAATTATTCCCACCACCAGAACACTCAGTTCAAGAGCCAACAGTCCTAGCTTTCACTGGTCTCCATGGACACAAGGAAATTCTCAGGTACCACAGATATACCAGTGGGGCCAGTCATTTCATTACTAAACTATTAGAAAGCATAAAGTTTAGCAGGCCTGGATTCCCAGATTTCCACCTAGAATAAATTTCACTTTAGGCTCTTTATCAAAGTCTACTGCTGATTCAACTCCATGTGTTCGACACATCACACAGCCTCCAATAATTTCTCTTATACAAGTCAAAGAATATACCAGGCTTGACAGAAAACATATGGAGCTGTGACATGCTAGCACACAACTGGGATTAAATTGGTTTTGTGATTTTTAGTTGTAATTACGTAGCATATCCCAAGATAAATTTTCAGTGCTCTAGGACACAGGAACTAGTAAAGTGCCAAGAGTTTATCACTTCATCTTGCAGCAAGCTATTTGCCATCTGGAAAAGGGGATTTTCCCCATAAAACCTCTGAAAACATAAAAATTTGTATTTATAATGTTAATGGTTAACTTTTTAGAGACAATAGTGCATTATCACATCTCTGATATCACAGTGGTATGTGTTGTCGGTGGTGGTGGTTGTGAGGAATATTCTTGCATCCCCATATCCGAATATTTCTGATCCTGGTACTTTTGGATAAATGACATTGTATGACATATTATTTCATATACTTTCTTCTTCTGTAGAGGTATACAAATATTGTATGCATTGAGTATGAGAAAATGTGATGTAACAGCCACTTCAAGCTTTGGTTTTATTTCACTTTTTTCCAGAACCCCCCAAATAAGGGGACAAGAGAGAAGTGTGCAGTTAATGAATTTATTTTACAGTTAATGGCTGATTTAGAACAAGAAAACCTGCCTCAGATAGTCTCTGATCTGCTGCTAACAAGTGGCCTACTGTGGCTACCAGTTTTTTTGGGTAAACCCATCCTGATTGCAAACTTAGCCAGCATTCCCACTGGCCTCCCCCAGCATTGCTGCACAAGCAACTAAGGGCTCAGTTGACGCTGCTCAGTGGCCAAGAGCTTTCCTGCCCCAACCTATCCAGCCGTTTGCAGCAATGATGGACTATTTTGGGAAGAGTTCCTCCTCTGTAAATGGTTCTGGGTGCTTGTCAGGTAGCATTACTTGCTCTAGCACAGGGGTGGCCAAACTTGCTTAATGTAAGAGCCACATAGAAAAAACATCAGATGTCTGAGAGCCACAAGACATGAACAAATATCACACACATTTTAATTGGAAAATATGCAAATTTGCTTTTCATTAAAATTAACTAAAAATGCCAGAAATAAAAATAAAAAACAGATATTGATAATGATATTTAAAGAGACAAATGCCGGCACGGGGGCTTTGAAAACACATTTAAAGTTGCATTCTTTCTCTGCTCCCCCCCACCTCAAGCCTACCCAGGGAGAGGAACACTGGCTGGGGATGGGAAGACCGATCAGGGAGGCATGCCTCCCCTTCACTTCCCCAGCCACCCTGCTGGGAGCCACACAATATGTGTGAAAGAGCCGCATGTGGCTCCCGAGCCACAGTTTGGCCACCTCTGCTCTAGCAGATCATCCCATATGTCCCAATTTGATGAAGACCCAAAAAATTGCTGTTAAGCCCCAAATGGCAACCTGCTTAACCCTGCCATATCAATAGGGAAGCAGGGTGGGCCAGTGTGCCCCCAAAACTTGCTGTTGAGGGTAGGGTCTGGCTTCTGTATCCTCCCATGCCCTTTGTTGACTGGCCATCATAGAATGTATCGAGATATTTAATGGCACTCATAACTTTGGAAGAGCCCTCTTTTGCTGGAAAATACAACATCTGCGTCACACAGTCGTGATGACTGTGTTTCTGAAGGCTTTTTCACTTCACTAGTCACTTATATATGACTTCCCAGAGTTAAAGCCAAATGAAATAGTACCACTAAAGGTTTTAAAAAAACAGAACAAGAGAAGGGAATCGTTTGCCTACAGCTGTCCTGCTATGTCTCCAATGGGTTAAAAATGACTTT